CCAAAACCGCCCCATTACCCGTTCGGATAATTTTTATTTGAACCGTACCCGCCCCAACGGAGAATCGGTTTATCCACGGGTAACTGTTTCCCCAAATGATACCAAATAACCATTTTTTTTTAAAATCAAATAACCAATTTCTAATCCTACTTGTTATTTATATATTCAAAGCACCCTAAAACATACAAAAGTAAATATTTAAGCAATCAAGTAGACTGGCCTAAATTCATTAGTATGAAACTGTGACATGCACCTAATATATCTTGTAACATAATAAACAAATAGTAATCATCCTAGAATCCAAATTCCAAAAACAGGTTTAGGCCTATATTTAGTTTTAGGCCTAAAAAGTAGTATACTTTTTAGCATTATTTATACTCCGTATGATATACTCCGTATACTACTTAGTTACACAATTTAGCTTATATACTTATTATTCTTATATATAAAAAGTTATAATTCATTAATAATGTTACCGATCAAGTAACGGTGCGGGTACCCGCACCATTAGTGAACGGGGCGGTTTCGGGGCAGATAATGGAGCGGATTAGTATAGAACCATAACCGCACCATTAACCATTTAAAAAATTCAGGTATTCCCCGCCCCGTACCCTTTCCCCAATCAAATCGGTTTTCCCCAATTTGACCACATCGGTTCGGTGCGGGTATCCAACGGGTCGGCCGAAATTGCCATCTCTAGTTTTTATATTCCATGCATATTTTGTAGCACTTATATATCAAATATTCCAGTCCCAAAATGATAGTGTAACACATTTTGGACTAAAAAGTGTCCCAATTATGATTAATTGGCAACTTCACCCCTAGTCATTGCTTTTTCCAAATATGGGTGGGAAGAATAGGGTAAAAAGTAAATTAGTAAATCTGAAATGGAAAGAAGCTAAGGTTAAAATAAGAATTTACACCAAAAGTATACACCAAAAATGTTGAATTGCAATTTATAACGATAGTTCAAAATGGTACGTGTAACTTTCATTTTGATAAGAGTGCCAAATCTACAAACTCAATAGAGTGGAGCTGACGTACCTGAACGGTATCAAAAGAAGACATTAAGAAGAAGATCGGCGTTTTAATATGTTCCTGCACGGTTTGAGCGAAGAAACCCTGCAAAAAGCCACAAAGATCAATTACAATATTTTTCATAATATAATACGGAGTAATACAATACTTTAATACATTAATCAATAAAATATTATTAAAGTTGAATAATATATAAATGCTGGAAATTCAAATTGTTGCAATAATAACTAATAAAGAAAGTAAGTTCGTAGTACAAATTAAAAAAAAATGAAACTTTTTCTGTATTCGTTTTCAGAAGCTTTGAAGACATAAAATGGATGCAACACATTTGTTGAGCTATTTGTCACACATTGTTAAAATATACGTACTACATAAATTAGTAATTAAACTAGTACGGAGTACATAGTACTCGTATATAAGTAATAAGTTCATTGAGGCTTCAAATATGGAACCTATATCTCAACATGTTATACTCCTTCCAAAAAGATTCGTCAAATTGACTTTTCTTGATCAATTGCAATCAAATTTGACCAATGATATTTTTTAGTACGAAACTATTTTGAATATGAAAACTTATCAAAATGTTCCTTATTCAAGATATTTTCACAAAGGTATAAAATTTATAAATTAGGGATAAGGGTGAGTTTGGTCTTCGAAGTTGCAAAAAAGGGGTCAAATAAGTCCTTATATAGAAAATTCTGTCCGGACGTGCCATTTGAGGTGGCTCCCGGTGGAATTTTTTGATTAAATTTTTTGAGCATCTTATTCATTAAGTCTAGTTTACTCATACCAAATTTCAGATTAAAATACAATCGGGAAGACATTCAAATGAATTCTTGAAGATAATTGTGCCGTTAAAAGCGCAGTTATCTTCAAGAATTCATTTGAATGTCTCCCCGATTGAATTTTTAGTTGAAATTTGGTATGAGTAAACTAGACTTAATGAATAAGATGCTCAAAAAATTTCATCAAAAACTTCTACCGGGAGCCACCTCAAATGGCACGTCCGGACAGAATCTTCTATATAAGGACTTATTTGACCCCTTTTTTGCAACTTTGAGGACCAACCTGACCATTTACTCTTATAAATTATATACAAATATAATAATTAAAATCATTATGTAAAGTTTATCATCATTTCAAGAAAAGTCGATATAATAAAATGAGGTACTTCTTTCTTTATAATTTAAAATAATTGTTATACGTCATATATACCTATAAACCATTTATAGCTCTCTTCTGATTCAAATATCAAAAAGAAACTTACTGATAATTGATAGACTAATAAATACGAACTAAGTGCCGTACCGCTGAAATAACATGAAAAGGAATAGGCAAGATGAAATTAAAAGGAGTAAGAAAGAAGCTAAGAATAGTACTCCGTATGCATTAACTACGTACAAAAGCCATCAGTTTTTCAATGGTTGGCGTAAAAATTTCCCCGGCGAACTTTTTGCTGCAAGAAATCAAATGACAATAAACACAAATAAATATTTAATTAAGATCCTTGATATGGTGGGTCTACTATATTTCTATTAAGAATTTGTTCCTGTCACGTTTCTCTCATACTTAATTAAATAACAACTTCAAATAAGAAATGAAATAGTACGTATATTATACGAAGTATTAGGGACTATAAAATACAAAAATCTTACGAAAGGAAAAAATATCCCGCATCCGAAAAGCATTTTACTCTCGTCGCATTGGGTAGGAGATCACGGAATCCGTCGCAGTGAAGTGTAACTGCAACTCCTCCGGCCAAAACGGCCAGCACACATGAAAGCCAGAAGGGACAGGCCATGGGACACCCGTTCGCGGGATCCATGCATAGGACAAATACTATCCTAAAAAAATACTATCCTAACTACTACCTCCGTAACATAAATATCTTCCCACTTTCCTTTTTTGGACGTAACACTAATATCTTCCCATTTCTAAATCTTCCCATCATACCCTCAATAATTTTAAAAATAATAACTATTACACCTACTTTTTTTGGATTTATCCTTCATTCCATTACATTATTTCACTATTTTCCCATCATACCCCTAATAATACATATCTCCTTTAACTATTCTTAATCTACCTACTTTTGAAATTGGAACATCTCAATGTTACGGAGGTAGTAGCTAGGACGTGTGGATATTTTAAGTGTAACTTTTTTTTATTTGTTCTCTTATTTTTATTTGCAAACATGTAAAAGAGAAATAATAGGAGCAAAGAATACTATAAAAAATATAAGATAATGTATAAAGTAAGAAAGAAAAGATAAAAACCAGAAAAAGTAAAAATAGTTGAATATTTCAAAATAAAAAGTTATAAAAAAAAATGTAGCAAACTTTTATATACATCGTAAATTAAATAGGAAAAAGTAGCAAATTTTAAAAAAACGTTGCTCGATCAATAAAGATTTGTGGTGTTGGTTTGTAGAGAAAAACTGAATTAAAGATTTATTTGTGGGGGTTATATTATAGGGATTAGGGAGCACAAATTTGCGGTATTGTAAGGGTGTTTTCTTTTGGATTGTTTTCAATCCCAGACCAGACCAGACTTAAACAGACCAGACCAGATCAGACTTAAACAGACCAGACAAGATCAGACTTCCGTAGTTATAAAATACACAGAGACCAGACGTTTACCAGACCAGACCATATCAGACTTAAACAAACCAGACTTAAACAGACCAGACCAGACCAGACCAGCAAATTTCAGTCCAAAAGAAAACATCCTAATACGTTCACGAAATTAAAGATAATGATGAGAGAATGGGCACTTATACTTGAAAAGAAAATGATGGAACAGCAGTACGTACGTTTACATATATAGCATTAAGAAATTAAATTAAATACGGAGTATGCATTTAATTTATTGGCTCAACAAACCTCAATTAATCAAACGGAAGTCTAGAGACTAGAAATCACAACATTGTATATATATGTATATTGCTAGCTAGCTCATTAGTTTGCTATTTATTTGAGTATTTGCTACTCCCCCGACTCCACTGGCAAGCTTAGATTTACAAAACTCCAATTTCTCTCCATTTACATCATCTTTAGCTTAGCTCATTCAAAATGGGATTCTTGATCGTCTCCGTCTCTCTCATTCTACTGTTTGCTAGCTTTTTTCTCACAAGATGTGATGGTATGTATAGTAAATTTGTAACTCACCACGCGCTTCAAATATATGTATGTGTGTACAGTGTACATATATCTATGCACACATATATATACTATGTATATATTTAACAAATGCCTTTAATTTCTGAAATTTCCTAGGATCTGAGTATATGACCAAAATATATTGAGTTTGCTTGAATATTATTACCTATGGTGTAAGACATTTGTATGACAAACAAAAAAAAGAAAAAAAATTCGTCCATATTAAAATGTTTAATGACCAATATACTCTTATCTAAAAAATGTGCATTTTATAGTCTTCCGATGTGGGATAAATATTTTAACACGCTTCCTCAATCCGAACCGACCCGAACTGAACTAGATAATATTGGGGTGTATAAATGGGCCTTTAATAAGCTACCCTGAATTATAATCATGAGTGTTAAACAAGCCGTCAAATCACAACAAAACTTGTCTCTTATACGGAGTACCATTTTAAGACCCGATGTTACATCCCGACTAAAATGTCAAGTCGGTTTTATAGCTTTTCCCTCCGAAACAAATATTTTAACAACAGGTTCTATATGTTTTTATATACAATGCGCCGTTAGTAATTTTTAGCAACATTGAATTGAAATTTAAAACTACCAATTCAACCACTTTGTATTCAATTCCACTCAACACTTCCATGACAATGACATGCATAGATATCCTAAGCTCAGCTCCATACTTCATAAATTCATGCATCAACATGTACTAGCTGCCATACTCCCTAACCTTGCTTGTAACCTCCACCTATATATCATTCCTTTAGCTAGCTCACCTACTTAAACCCGGCCTCAAACCAAACGAATCTCCAGTCATTTCTAATTTCCTTCGAAACCAAACAAATCTCTAGCTAGGTAGTGAGTTACGTTCTAATTTCTTCCGAAAAGTGAGTGGGTTGAAGATGTCTCTCATTGCAATATTTGGATCGTTGTTGTTTTTAATTTCTGCTTTCTCTTCATCAAATGCATGCAATGGTAACTTTATATAATTATTTATGCTGCCAAGGCCAATTATACATTTTTCTTTTATCTTTCTCACGTATATAATTAATTGTGGAATTTTAGGTGCGTGGCTTGATTAATATATATACTTACTAGTGCTTAGTTTCTCACTGTTAATTTCGTGTTAATTAACAATGATCATTTTCGTATGTTTAGGTGGTAATGATTACTATGTCAATGCCACTGTTGTCCGCAATGATCCCGGAGCCAGTAATGTTTTACTATTTGTTTATGTGTTTTACTTATATATATATATATCGGCCGACCCGTTGGATACCCGCACCGAACCGATGTGGTCAAATTGGGGGAAAACCGATTTGATTGGGGAAAGGGTACGGGGCGGGGAATACCTGAATTTTTTAAATGGTTAATGGTGCGGTTATGGTTCTATACTAATCCGCTCCATTATCTGCCCCGAAACCGCCCCGTTCACTAATGGTGCGGGTACCCGCACCGTTACTTGATCGGTAACATTATTAATGAATTATAACTTTTTATATATAAGAATAATAAGTATATAAGCTAAATTGTGTAACTAAGTAGTATACGGAGTATATCATACGGAGTATAAATAATGCTAAAAAGTATACTACTTTTTAGGCCTAAAACTAAATATAGGCCTAAACCTGTTTTTGGCATTTGGATTCTAGGATGATTACTATTTGTTTATTATGTTACAAGAGATATTAGGTGCATGTCACAGTTTCATACTAATGAATTTAGGCCAGTCTACTTGATTGCTTAAATATTTACTTTTGTATGTTTTAGGGTGCTTTGAATATATAAATAACAAGTAGGATTAGAAATTGGTTATTTGATTTTAAAAAAAAATGGTTATTTGGTATCATTTGGGGAAACAGTTACCCGTGGATAAACCGATTCTCCGTTGGGGCGGGTACGGTTCAAATAAAAATTATCCGAACGGGTAATGGGGCGGTTTTGGGGCAAACATTTATCCAACGGGGCGGTTTCGGTTTTATGTGTACCCGCCCCCGATCCGCCCCGTTGCCATCACTAATAAAAACTGATCTCAATAAAACAGCTCTCTACGCAGAAGCATGCATGTGTGTTACGTACTTGGAAATGTGCTTTTTTTTTATATCTATGGTATACTTAAATAAACGTGATATCAATTGATTTCAGGTCACGTGCAGGGGACCTTTCCGGGTAATACTACAATAAAAGAATGTCTCCAATCAGAGAACTGCTCAGATGATATTATTAAGACTTTACAAGGTTTGTATTGCCAAATGCTTTTATAAATACAGAATTACAAATCCGTTTTGTTTATTTATTTTGAAAAAAGTTTTTAGTTTTTATTTTAAAGGTATTGTATGTATTTCTAATTTTTCCAAAATAAAAGATCACCTTCATGTCAACAAAGATTTGTCATATTTGACATTTTAATTTGTGTTATGTACGTATAGTAGTATAAACTACTACGTATTAAACTTAGATTTCTTCAATAATAAGCTTATTATTTTTCAAGCATTTAAAGAAGTATATAAATAACTTAAAACTGCACTCAATTAATAAAAACTTAATTTTTGTCAATATAGTGTTTGGGTATATTGATGTTTATTTGTATACTATTTTCCTTTCAGATCTTAGATTAGAATTCCTGAGCGTTTTGCCTAAAGCAAATAGCACCTTACCAAGAGGGTTATTGATCACCTCCCCAACAATTCATGAACAACAGTCAATGGAATATGGACATGGTCGTTGATATATGGGAGCAATGAGGTATTTAATTTGTTCTATACAATTTATGCACAATTCCTTACTACATAAACTAATAGTCTAATACAAGTTGGCTAGAGAAAGATCAGATAAGAAGTACGATAGTATATACGAAGTATGAAAAAGAATTGAAGATGAAAATGTAGGTAAAGCAGAAACAATATTTATGTATTTGTAATTAAAAACTTATTAAACTAGGAAAATGATACGTAAAGTTATGACTAAATAAATTTCAAAAATTGAATATGTTGCATTCAAATAAACAGGGAGCGAGTACTAATAAACATCATGGATCCCATCGACTTAACTATAATTAATGAAAGATTTATTCAATTTCTTTAGCGTCGTCTTATAAGTCATGTATTTATATTTTTTTATGTTTTTTTAGCATTTACATTTCAATGACTGATGAATGATGTGATCTGTTTTATGAATTTTTGTAGACAATTTCCAAGCTATTTGGAGACTGGTATTTTGATCGGAGAAGTGTTTATGTGATCGATAAATACACATGTCCATATAACTGTTCCCGAAGCTTGGCCCAAAACAACAGTCGAGCTATTGATAAGGCGCCGGGTGCTATTTGCGGATGGCTTGTATTTATCCTTTTGCTTAATTTGCTTGTAAATTAGATTGTTAGTGTAGTAATATTTTGTCATTAAGTGTGGACTATAAAGATTTTTTCTGAACTAGCTGCTAGATGGTCATATGCATGAAAAAATATGTGGTTATATGAATTAATTAACTCGAATTTAGTAGACTAAGCAATTTATGGTGATTTTGGAGTTCCTTTTTGGACCAATCTCACTATTTTTTTTTACTGAAATCTCACTAATTAATATACATATATCACGGGTTCTTGGCCTACACAATCACGCATAAATGCATGTGTGTTGTTTAATGTTCACATGTTAGTTTGTTTTAAGTGTGAAAGTCTAATTTTGCGGTGTACTGCTCCATGGCTCAACAAGTCACGCATCGTTCAACATCATACTCATAATATCCTAATTTACCATTCTAGTGATCCACCCAATACCAAAGCATCTTCTCCCAAATTTCTAACATTCGGACAACAGTCATGAAAAGGATTGGTGGGTGGTGGAACACGCCCATCATTTAATAGTCACATGTTTTTTTTTTGGATGAAATGTAAATATATATTAACACCCAGAAAAACTATACATCACATATCATAGATCTCCTAAAACCTCCCCCACCCCCACATAAAGTGAGGATGAAAGTGTTGAATATGTTGTTTTGTTGATGACTAACCATACAGGTGGAACGGCGGACAGAACCGCTCACAGTTCCTTAAGCGACAAAGGACAAAACTAGTTCATGTGCTTACGTGATATAATTTGTGATTTAATTGGTGCACTCTTGGATTAATATGTGTGTACGTAATATAGCTTTTCATGCATGACCAAATTGACACCCACTTAAGTAATTGTGCTTTTAACTTTATAAAAAGTAATTGTGCTTTTTACTTTATGGAAAGTAATCTTGACTTGCTTGTAATATAAATATAGTTGGCTTGAATTAATATATTTGCACCTACTTAATTATCTTTCGTATTTGGGTGCATGATTTGTTTGGTTACTAGCTAATATACTTTCTTTATGTGAGCCCAATTCAAAAAGACCACTTACTTAGTCAAGATTATTATAATAAGGCAAGAATATATTTTTAGTGCATGACTTGTTAGAAATATATGTTCTGGCCGTTGCATCCTTTCTCATATGGAATGATTCCCTACCTTTTTGAAAGTTGACCAAAGCTTGCTCTCTTTGATAATTAATTCAAAATACTTACACGTGATTTGAATGGGCAATTCGTGACTATGTTGCTACCTTGAATATATGAATATTAAATGTTGGATATTTTAATTTGACTGCCTTATATATTGAGCTCGGATATGGGAAATATTATGAAAGGAAATGACATTCGTGTAATTTCCATATTTAAATTTGTACTTTTAATTAGTTTCGAGTGATTGTTACTTTGGAAATTACACACTTTTGGTGTAAACAGTTTAGTTTGTAAAATATTTGTAATATGTTTAGATTAGGTTTATTCTGAGCTCAAACAGGTCCAAATACACTTTGGAGAACATCACCAGTGGAAGGAAGGTGCAAGAATGCAAGAAAAAGATTGAAGATCTCGTTTTTGGTCTGTACCCGATCGGGTATGACCTATACCCGGTCGGGTACCCTTCTGAAATTTCGAATCAAATCAAATCCGGGAACAAGGCATCATGCGGGAAGATTTTAAACACGTTCGGGTGTCCATACCCGATCGGGTGACCGACAGACCCGATCGGGTATAACCCCATTTTTCAGCTTCGCCGAAGCCACATATGGTACCCGATCGAGTGGGCTGAAAACCCGATCGGGTACACGACCCTGCAAGCCTAAAAAGCCTATAAATACACCCCATTTCCTCCACAAGAAGATCACCAATTCACATATACTTCTAAGCTCAGTTTAGACAAGTTCTTTCTTTATATTTTTATCATGTTTAGTCTCCAAATGAGGAGCTAAACTCTTCCATCTTGGTTTTGCTACTTTGAAGCTTAATGAATTGTAAGTTGTGAGTTATTTTCTTTGATCTTCTTCCTTGAATATTAATTAATTCTTATTCCTATTACATATTAATATTTTGAGCAATACTTAAAGGATCAACTAGTTTTGTTTCATATATTAATTAAAAAGATGATGAATCGTTCTATGAATATTGGGAACGATTCAAGAAACTTTGTGCAAGCTGTCCGTATCATGGCTATTCGGAGCAAGACCTCATCCTATACTTTTATGATGGTCTTTGCAATGATGATAGACGGATGATTAATGCCGCATGTGGAGGAGGGATCGTTAACAAGACCCCTTCTCAAGCTATGAATCTTATCTCGGAGTTGGCTGAGAATTGTAGATATCACAACGGGCGGTCATCAACAAAAAGAGTCATGGCGGCCGAATCAACATCATCTCTGGAAAGTCAAGTTGCCGGCTTGACTTCTTTGGTAAAGGATTTTCTTTTAAATTCCAAAACCCAAGAAGTCAAGGTCTGCGGCATCTGCACACAACAAGACCGGAGTTAGTCCAACCCAAGTTGTTCAAATGGGGATAATCTTCCCCATATCCGATAGCAAGTGGGTTAGTCCAACCCAAGTTGTTCCCAAGAAGACCGGAGTCACGGTGGTGGAGAACAAACATGGGGAACTTATGCCCACCCGAATTCAAAATGGATGGAGGGTATGTATAGATTACCGTCGCCTCAACGCGGTAACTAGAAAGGATTTCTTTCCTTTACCCTTCATTGATCAAATGCTGGAGAGACTTGCGGGGCATAAATTCTATTGCTTCCTTGATGGCTATTCCGGGTACTTTCAAGTACCCATAGCCCCTGAAGATCAAGAGAAGACAACATTCACTTGTCCATTTGGCACTTTTGCCTATCGACGTATGCCATTCGGACTTTGCAACGCGCCCGCCACCTTCCAAAGATGCATGATGAGCATATTCTCCGAGTATGTTGAGCTATTTATGGAAGTTTTCATGGATGACTTCACAATCCATGGGGACTCATTTGATTCATGCTTATATCATCTCTCCCTTGTGCTCAAAAGTTGTTTAGAATCAAACCTTGTTTTGAATTCTGAAAAATGCCACTTCATGGTGGAAGAAGGAATTGTTCTAGGCCATGTAATCTCATCCAAAGGGATAGAGGTTGACAAGGCCAAAGTTGAAGTCATCCAATCACTCCCTTATCCTACCACCGTTAGAGAAATACGGTCATTCCTTGGACATGCAGGTTTCTACCGGAGATTCATCAAGGATTTCTCAAAGATTGCATCTCCTTTATGCACTCTTTTACAAAAGGAGGTGGAATTCGTCTTCTCCGAAGAATGCAAGAAGGCTTTCAATACGTTGAAGGAAAAGCTAGTAACCGCACCTATCATCCAGGCTCCCGATTGGTCTCTTCCATTCGAGATCATGTGTGATGCTAGCGACTATGCGGTCGGGGCCGTCTTGGGCCAAAAAGTGGGAAGAGCTTCTCATGTGATTTACTATGCATCCACCACACTCAATGATGCTCAACGCAACTACGCCACCACCGAAAAAGAAATGTTGGCCGTCGTCTACGCACTTGAAAAATTCAGATCATACTTACTTGGAACCAAAGTAATCATTTACACCGATCATGCGGCTCTTAGATTTTTAATGACAAAGAAGGAGGCCAAACCGAGGTTGATTCGGTGGATACTACTCTTGAGCGAGTTTGATGTTGAGATCAAGGATAAGAAGGGCATGGAGAACTTGGTGGCCGATCACTTGAGCCGTTTAGTCCTTGATGAAGGAAATGATCATGTCAAAGATGATATCCGAGGGGAATTTCCCGATGAGACTCTTTTCTCTCTTAAGGAAATTCGCCCTTGGTACGCTCACATTGTTAATTTCCTTGTTCTAAACAGGTTTCCACCAAGCTTCTCAAAAGCTCAAAGAGAGAAGCTCCAACACGATGCAAAACAGTACGTATGGGATGAACCATACTTGTGGAAACATTGCAAAGATCAAGTCATTAGAAGATGAATCCCCGAGACAGAGATAGCATCCATTCTTGCCTTTTGTCACTCACATGCATGTGGTGGCCACTTTGGAGGAAAGCGAACGGCCATGAAGGTACTTGAATGCGGTTTTTGGTGGCCAAGCTTATTTCGAGATGCCCATGTCTTTTGTCAATCTTGTGACAATTGCCAACGCATGGGCAACATCTCTCGAAAACATGAGATGCCGCAAGTTCCTATGCTCTATGTAGAAATCTTTGATGTTTGGGGAATAGATTTCATGGGACCTTTTCCTAATTCCCACGGAAATCTCTATATCCTCTTGGCGGTAGACTACGTCTCAAAATGGGTGGAAGCAAAAGCCACAAGGACCGATGACGCCAAAGTAGTAGCGGACTTCATCAAAACCCGCATCTTCTCAAGGTTTGGAGTCCCGCGCATTCTAATAAGTGATAGGGGCACTCACTTCCATAACAAAACTGTGAGTGCCTTGTTGAAGAAATATGGCGTCACACACAAGCTCTCCACCGCCTATCACCCGCAAACAAACGGCCAAGCCGAAGTCTCAAACAGGGAGTTGAAGTCTATACTCCAAAAGACGGTGAACCCTAACCGAAAGGATTGGAGCCTTCGGATAGATGATGCCTTGTGGGCATATAGAACCGCTTTCAAAACACCAATTGGAATGTCTCCCTACAGACTTGTGTTCGGGAAGGCCTGCCACCTCCCGGTCGAACTCGAACACAAGTCTTATTGGGCAGTAAAAACATTCAATCTTGATATGGAGCAAGCGGGGATGAAAAGGAAACTACAACTCCAAGAGCTAGAGGAGCTTCGACTTGAGTCCTACGAGAATGCCGCCATCTACAAGGAAAAGACGAAGGTATGGCATGATAAAATGATAATAAGGAAGGACTTCCAAGTTGGAGATAAAGTCCTTCTATTCCGATCACGCCTCCGTCTTTTCCCCGGTAAACTGAGATCACGATGGGAAGGACCATTCGAGGTGGTCAAAGTCTACTCACATGGAGCGGTTGAGATCAAAAGCCTTGACACCGATAAAATCTTCAAGGTTAACGGACATCAACTCAAACCATTCCTTGAGGGCTTCCAAAAAGAGAGCGTTGAATGCATGGATCTCTTCGATCCAATCTATGAAGGATGAACATGACTATGGCGTCGTGCCGCGACGTTAACTAAGGCGCTTCTTGGGAGGCAACCCAAGTCAAGGTACGCAATTTTTCTTCTTTTCTTTTCAAATTCTTGCTTTTTAATGTCAATTTTGAGAAAATGGGGAAAAATTCTCAAGGAAAAAATGAAGGAAAACCATGTTTTGGAAGCCTGGGGAAACCTCCGATCGGTCTTCATGACTTAACCGATCGGATCCGCGCTAAAAAGAGGTTAAAACTGGACAAAAACACGTCCCAGGGTAGGGTACCCGATCGGGCACAATTCCCAGACCCGATCGGGTACGTATAAAAAAATCGGGTCTTGAGGAAACCCGATCGAGGGAAGAAAAAATTCTAAGAGGGTACCCGATCGGGTATCCGTAAGACCCGATCGGGTCTAATTCCAAGAATTTGGGAATTTAATTCGAATTAAATTACCCGATCGAGTAACCCCAAACTCGATCGGGTGAGAATCCCTGGAGCAAATTTTAAAAAATCGACGTTATACCCGGTCGGGTATTTGACTCACCCGATCGGGTACGCTAAGCTGCAGAATCAAAGGCACCTTCGAATTAATTTACCCGATCGGGTATTCGAGTCACCCGATCGGGTACTATACTCTGGAAAGCAAAAGATACCTTCGAATTAAAATACCCGATCGGGTATATCGGGCTACCCGATCGGGTACACGGGATTTTAATCAGATTTCACCCCATTTTCGGCCATTTCATCTTCCCCAAACTCCCAAATCTCGAACCCCTCTTCCCAAATCCCCCATTTTCGAACCTCCAAGCTTCCATAACTCACCCAACACTCAACCAAATCCTCTCATACCACCACCAAAACACTCCTCTCACCACCCTCTCCAACCTCATACCCAAAAATCACCACACCTCCCTCTCTCTCCAAAAATCCGAAACCCTACCCCAAAATCCCCAAAATCCAAATTCAAGTTTGAAATTTGGACAAAATGGCACCAAAAAGAAGCCAACCGGAGAGCTCCAATGCTAGAGGACCAATCCCGGGGTATGAGACCATCCGCTTTGGGCCGGGAGATCACCGCAAACGATTTATGGCCATCATCAAAAGGCAAGTAGTTCCTTCTAGATTCCTATGTCATAATGCTCTTACACAACTAGGCTTGTTGGATGGAATGAGGGAATTATTTGATAGGTTGGAGATGAATTTGATTTTTGATATGAAGTATAATTGTGTTGACAAAGTGATTTATGAGGTGATGAGTTCGGCTAAAGTTGTTCTACATGATGACCCGGCGGAGTTCCTCTACGACAAGCTCACGTTTCGTTGGTTAAACAACGAATACTCAATAACGAGACGTGAGTTTGCGGAACACTTCGGCATTCCCGCACCCCATGAAAGGGGGATACCGGAGAGCACACTTGACGGGCACACTTTATGGGCCAAAATGACCGGAGAAAGGAAGGTGAACGCATCTAAATTGTCCATTAGTCGCGTTCAACATCCTCTTCTCCGGATGTTCCTAAAGTTCTTGTGCAATTCTTTGCTTGGTCGCCCCAATAATCACCATACTCGGATGGGGGACGTGGCCGTACTCACTCTAGCCCTTTTTCATAGACCCACGGAATACAATCTTTGCAATTTAATGTGGGATCACTTGGAGGAAGCATGTAAGAAGACCGGAAACATTGTGGTTGGGGGGGTTATAATGCACCTAGTGAGCAAATTCGGCTATACGGACAATGCTCCAATTCACCCCGATTGCTTAATGCACCTTGGTTGGTTGTCCAATGCGGGTTTGATATCTTTGGGCAACAAAGACCACAATGGCAACCAACGCTATAGGTGGCACATGAAGTACCCCGAACCCACCAAATATTTCCCCCTCCCTTGTGATGAATTGCCTAAGCTTAGGTATAGGATGGCCACATTCGAGATCCCCCATTACCTCCTCCCAAACAACATTCCACCCCACCTCCAAGATCAAGCCAACCCTGTGACACTTCGAAAATTTTAAATAAAATAAAATGAATAATTTAATTAACATTTTTATAATTAAGTTGACCAGAGAGTAAATTTCGGCTTGGATAATAAAAGTGAGATTTTTATACGTGCGATAGTTATACACAAAATAAAGATTAGTAGCTACAAGTATATCTTATGCATTAAAAAGAAGGAAAAAAAAATATATATATACAAACACATATACGGAGGTAGTATATAATACGACACACACAATTTAAAGTCATAGTAGCAAGTATAAAGGGGAGTGGACTTTTCAAACTTAATTATACGTATAATACTAATAACATTAAAATACAAGTAATAATAACCTACTAGATAAGAATTAAACTATACGACTTGCGCTACACACTTGCGAATTGATAAGAACTGCGAACGATCTACGCATTCTTCGCACATCAAAGCTAATCGGGTAGCTAGAACCTTCGGCCACTCCTATAAATAACAGTCTTGCGATCAACCTGCATCAAACCCACGAGCGACGAACTGCGCCAAAGAGAGAAAACTTCGTGAGAATATGAGAGTAATACGACTCTCAGCTTGAGAGGTCAAGAAGGTGGGGTCGTTATTGAAGCAGAAAACCAAGAAGCGTCGGAGGAAGAGAAACTCGCCGGAGGAAGGGGAAGCTGCCAACATCTGCTCGATCGGCTGTCATAAGACGTCCTCCGCCGGCCTGCCGCCGTGAAACTCATCCGGCGTAGGTAAGTTACGACCTCTGCGTTCTCTTCGTTTTATGGTGTTTCCACGAACGGAAAGATTAAGGAAGACAAATTAAACGAATGTACTTGGTATATTACTACGTAACTTACTGTATATACAATGTGCTGAAATCATAAATATAATAATACGGAGTATTGAATAAGACCACTAATGTAATAGATTAGTAGGTTGTATATTGTATTATGGACTGTTCGGAAAAAAAATAAATTAATTAATGACAAGATGAACATAATAATAATGGAATGATTAGCGGTTATAAAATCAATGATTTAAATAGATTGAATAACTATTAGCGAATGGATGGACTGATTGGATTAAAATGAAAGTTTGACTGTTAAACCCGATTGATTAGTGAAGCACTTTAAAATGGACATCATGATTATAATAAAATTAATAAACCAACTAATATGGATGATCGTTAGACATGACAGTGAACTAAATTCAAAACTAACTAATGATAATATTGGATTAATCAATGTAAATGGATCGAAATTAAATAAGTTCATTAATGGACGGTACATGGTAAACTGGATTGCTAAGAATAAAAATAAGCTGATTGAAAACTGATTGATTTTAGCTATTAATTGTTAAAAGGAATAAACTGATTGATTATTATAACTGGACTGTTTAGATTAAAACGTAAGGTGTATTATTTTAATTAAACCAGATTGATTTAACGACATTTGAACATTAATAATAACAATAAAACACAATGGATGGATCGCTAGCTATATAAAACTAATGGAAAGATTGAATTGAATGATTATCATTGGACTGATTAGTTTAAAATAAAACTTTATTTGATTATTATTATTAATTAAACTTGACTAATTGATTATCGGCTTACATTAAAATATAAACAGATCAATTAATTGGAAAGTCAAACTAATTTACTGGTTCGTTTATATTCACTTATACAAACTATAATTCAGACTGTTATAATGCTACGTCATTAATGGCTTAATTAAAATAGACTATTCTAATGGCTTAATTAATAACTTTGGGGAAATTATGTGAGTAGTAATCCCTGAATTTTTGGAAAATAATAAAGATAAAATGAACCTTTCAATGTAAGGGCATCATGGGAGAAATCCGGGATGTCGGTGACCTCCACGACCTTGACTGTGGAGAGTGATTAGGACTGCTATTACTTGTTGGGATTTGGTGTCCACGACCTTGACTGTGGAGATTGGTTAAAGTGGTTGTTTTATTGTAATTAAAATTCGGGCAAAAGACCCTGTTATTCAGTAATAGCAGTAACTCAGTCACTTATATAGGGTAATCCCTTTTTGGTGGAGTAGGGGGACGTTGACGTCCGAACTACTTGGACTTCTTACTACTCGGAGGGCTTGGAATCCCTTTTAGAGGGTGTGCACACTTAAGGTAGAGGTTCAGTTTCCCCAGGTTAGAAGTGGTACCGGCAAAAGTCCCGGGGGTGGCTGTACATAACAACGGACTACTGGGCTCAATAAAATGTTGAGCACCGCCCTTCAAATGTATTAGGAGTTTAATCCAATTATATTTTAAAACATTTCTAGAGTAACTATTGAAGAAAATATTTTTTTTATGAAAGTGAGGATCATCCATTTTTGAAAGAAGTATACCATGAAATTTATCTCTTAAACTACTTTTTCGTATATATGGTATACAAAATATTATTTTCACCAAACCTATTATTTTACGGGGTTGGGTGGGACTTACTTAGCTCTAAAGCTAATTTTTGTGTTATTTGTTTCTTTTATTTCCTTATGTTACAGATGATGTGGTTTATGAAGATTGATGCCTTGAGAGCGCTCCTAGAAGACTTTTAGAGTAGTCACATCTAGAATAAACATTGTTAGTTTTCATTATTTCAAATGTTAAATTGAATATTTGTTTAGATACATTTTTGGTGGATAGCCTTAGCATCCAGTCGGTTTAGGGCTGGGTGTGGCGGTAACACGCCCCTTTTCCTTGTTATTGTTTAATTCCGCTGCAAACAATTGAAAGTTTTGAATAATTAATAAAATTTATTATTTCTTTAAGTATTATTTTGGGAGGGAAATTTGGGGGTGTTACAAGTTGGTATCAGAGCCCTTAGGTTTTCCGAAAGGATTACGACACGAGGTAATAGGTCGTAGGGAGGAATTCTGTCAACGAGACGATAAGAGTCTGAGCTGGTTGGTGCATAATTGAGCCTTTGCGCTCGTCCAACTAACTGGGAATTTCTCCTTGTGCTGAAACTTCGTTGTTCGAAATCCTTGAATAAAACCTTTGGAATCATACCTTCAAATGGGGATTTTCAAAATATTTTGACTAGGGAAAATAAGATAGTTAGAAAATGGCCTTTAGGAACGTGGTGAGGACTTTGTGAGTATTACTTTTATGTTATATATGTTATGTGAAAAGTGGAGAATTGTGGGCTCATGTGAAATGGGAACCCCAAGTGTTGAATGTGTTGTCATATGAAATGTGCAACCTACCTGTGAATATTTACACCTACATGGTAATTGTAGGATATAACTTGGTAGTATATGGAATCCTTAGTTCTAGGATCCTTAAGGGAAAGTAGAGGAGTTTTCTTTACTAATTCAAGTTATTTATTAATGGAGACACCATGCCACCGAGGAGAGACCCGAATGCCGTCCCTACCAATGCCGAGCTGGCGCAAGCTCTCACGCTGCTCACCCAGACAATCACTGTGGCATTTCAAAACCAACCCAACAACGGCAATAACATGGAGAGTCGTGTAGCGGCACGAAACCCGCCGAGCTTCCTTGGGCAAGAGGATCCAGTCCTTCTCGAGAATTGGATACGATCCTTCGACAAGCTGTTTGATGCGGTCAATTGCCCGGTAGATCAACGAATTAACATTGCCGTGTATTATCTGCATGAAGAAGCAGATAAATGGTGGCTTCATGTGGGACCAGGGATGAGCGCACAACCGGACTTCACTTGGGATCTGTTCAAGCGTGCACTGCGGAAGAGATTTTACCCGCCACACGTACAAGCAGAAAATCGTGACAAGTTCTTACACTTGAAGCAAGGGGACATGACGGTGCAAGAATATCACAGTCAATTTGTTACCCTAGCAGAATTTGCAACATCAATTGTACCCGATGAGGAGAGTAAGATCGAGAAGTTCATCGGAGGACTGAACTACGACACACAGAAGATGATGATGGTGCAAGACTGGCAAACATTGGATGATGCCTATTACAAGGCTGCGAAGCACTACCGGGTAATACAACTCCAGCGAGAAGCCCACAAGAAAATCCGGAAGAACGAGGAGGAGAATAAGGCAAGGGAGAAGAGGCTCAAAACTCATCAGCAGGAACAACAACCCACGGGGAGGAGGGAAGATCGTCCACAAGATGGAAGGAGATTCCCCGGGCATGGTCCAAGGCAAGATCAACGATATGCGCCAAGAGACAGGCATTACCATTGCAAGTTGTGCCAACGAGATCACCCTGGTGTTGACTGTGATGGAAAAGTGGTGAACTGTTTCATTTGCGGGAAGAGGGGACATCGGGCATACGAATGCCTAAACAAAGAAAAGGCGGGTCATCAAAACCAAGGTCCTAACCGAGGAGGTGCAACCCAAGGTGGAAATCAAGAGGGGAATAGGCCGGGAAATCACAACAATAACAATCGCGACCGTGATGCCAACCGCAATCAGAACCAAAACCAAAATCAGAACCAAGGCGGGGGCAACCAAAGAAATCAGGGCCGCATATACGTGATGAACAAGGCACAAGCCAATGCCCATGACGTGGTTTCAGGTACAATTCATGTTAATAACACTCCTGCTTACGTTCTGTTTGATTCTGGTGCTTCTCACAGTTTTATCTCTTCTAAATTTGTTGAGAAGTTAAAGATAGAACCTGCAGCTAGCATAGAGTTGAATGTAAAAACAGCAAACAATAGAGTGATAGCTTGTAGAAATATATACATGAATGTACCTATAGCCATAGATAATGTTAATTTGCCTGGAGACTTGGTCCAATTTGACCTCGAAGACATTGAAGTGGTGTTGGGCATGGATTGGCTCGGGAGTTACAAGGCGAAGATCTTGTGCAACGAGCACAAGGTGATCATGAAGAGCCCGAGTGGGAAGCGGGTATCATTCAAGGCAGTGACAAACAAACCTGATGTCAAGTTGATGACAATGCGGCAAATGAGGAGGTACATCCGGAAGGGATGCGAAGCATACCTTTGTATGATGAAGGAGACCCACAATGAAGAGCAAACAATTGATCAGATCCCGGTGGTCAATGAATTTCCCGATGTGTTTCCGGAAGAGATTCCGGGGATGCCTCCGGAAAGGGACGTTGAGTTCTCCATTGACTTAATGCCGGGTACTACACCAATTTCCAAGGCACCGTACAGGATGGCTCCGAAGGAGATGCAAGAACTGAAAGAGCAACTTGAAGAACTACTCGAGAAGGGATACATCAAGCCGAGTGTCTCACCATGGGGTGCTCCGGTTCTCTTTGTCAAGAAGAAAGACGGTAGCTTGAGGCTGTGTATTGACTACCGAGAGTTGAACCGTGTTACTATCAAGAATCGATACCCTCTGCCCCGTATCGATGACCTGTTCGATCAACTTAAGGGGGCGGGCATATTTTCCAAGATTGACCTTCGATCTGGCTACCACCAAGTGAGGATAGCGGAGAAGGATATACCGAAGACTGCATTTCGTACGAGATATGGGCACTATGAGTTCACCGTGATGCCGTTTGGTCTAACCAACGCACCCGCGGTGTTCATGGACCTAATGAACCGTGTATTTCGCCCCTATCTCGATACATTTGTGGTGGTATTTATTGATGATATCCTGGTGTACTCGAAGAACAAGAAGGATCATGAAGAACATCTTAGGGTTGTTTTACAAACCTTGAGAGAGCATCAACTTTATGCCAAGCTTTCCAAGTGTGACTTTTGGAAAGACCGAGTAGCATTTCTGGGTCACATCATCACTCGAGATGGAGTGTCTGTGGACCCATCAAAGATCGAAGCGGTAACCGAGTGGCGAGCACCAACCACTGTCACCGAAGTGCGGAGTTTTCTTGGGTTAGCGGGATACTATCGGAGATTTGTCAAAGATTTCTCCAAGATAGCTAGACCATTAACCAATTTGATGAAGAAGACCACGAAGTTCCAGTGGACGGATGATTGTGAGAGAGCCTTCAAGGAGCTGAAGAAAAGACTGACGACTGCACCAGTACTAACACTTCCTTCGGGAACTGATGGGTTTGAAATATATTGCGATGCATCCAAGAATGGACTGGGCTGTGTGCTAATGCAGAATGGGAAGGTAGTAGCTTATGCATCCCGACAACTAAGGGTGCATGAGGTCAACTACCCAACCCACGACCTAGAGTTAGCAGCAGTAGTGTTTGCTTTGAAGATATGGAGGCACTACTTGTACGGGCCACCGTGCAAGATATACACCGATCACAAAAGCCTTAAGTACATCTTCACCCAAAAAGAGCTTAACATGCGACAAAGAAGGTGGCTAGAGCTTGTCAAGGACTATGACCTTGAAATCCAATATCATGAGGGGAAGGCTAATGTCGTAGCAGATGCCTTAAGCAGGAAGACAGAACATAGCAGCAAAGCAATGTGGATACTTCCAGAAGAACTGTATCGGGAGTTCCAACGACTAAACTTGGAGGTGAAGGAGTGCGGTGAAGTAGAGAGTGAAATCCGGCTATACACAATAACCATTTTACCCTCTATCTTCGATGAAATCAAAGCGGGTCAATCAGGTGATGTGAAGCTTGAACGAGTCAAGGATGGGATGAAGAATGGGGTCAACGGACCATTTCAGCTACATGAAGACGGGAGTATTCGCTATAAGGGAAGGTGGTGTGTCCCGATGAAATGTGAGCACATCAAAAAGCAAATCATGGAAGAAGGACACAACACGCCCTATTCGGTACACCCTGGAGGAGACAAATTGTATAAAGATCTGAAGCAAAACTTTTGGTGGCCGAGAATGAAAAATGAAGTGGCAGAATTTGTGGCTCGATGCTTAAACTGTCAAAAAGTGAAAGCCGAGAGATGCAAGCCCAAGGGACTTGTCCAACCATTGGAGGTACCAACGTGGAAGTGGGACTCAATCTCGATGGACTTTGTCGGGGGTTTGCCTTTAACAAAGTCCGGGAAGGATAAGATTTGGGTAATCGTTGATAGATTGACCAAGACCGCTAGGTTCATTCCCATGAATGAAACTTGGAGCATGGATAAGCTGGCAAAAGCCTACATCAAGCATGTGGTCAAGTATCACGGTGTACCCCGAGATATTGTATCTGATAGAGATTCTAGATTCTTATCCCAATTTTGGAGGGAACTTCAAGTTGCTATGGGAACCACACTAAAGCTAAGCACAGCATTTCATCCGATGACAGACGGTCAGACGGAAAGAACAATTCAGACACTCGAAGATATGCTGAGAGCATGTGTACTGGACCTACAAGGGTCATGGGATGAACACTTGGACCTAATAGAGTTCTCCTATAACAATAGCTATCATACGAGCATTAAAATGGCTCCATACGAGGCTCTATATGGTCAAAAGTGTAGAAGCCCTTTGTGCTGGGGTGATATGGTGGACCGGGTTGTCTTAGGGCCGCAATATTTGCAAGATACGATGGAGAAGATCAAGTCTGTTCAAGCGAGAATGAAGGCAGCACAAGATAGACAAAAGTCATATGCGGACCTAGGAAGAAAACCAGCTGAGTTCGAGGTAGGAGAGAAAGTACTCCTAAAAGTCTCTCCCACTAAAGGCGTCATGAGATTTGGGAAGAAGGGCAAGTTGAGTCCTCGATTCATCGGACCTTACGAGATTCTGGAGAAGGTGGGGAGAGTAGCTTACAAACTGGCTCTACCCACGGAATTGAGCAAGGTAAGAAATAAATCCATTCTTTCAAAAGTTATTCATAAATTTGGTAAACAAACTGAGACGTTTTAACGTGTGCAAGGTACACGACGTTTTCCATATATCTCAACTGAAGAAGTATATCCGTGATGAGGCGCATATCTTAAACCCGGAGGTAAGAACCTCACTTTCAAAATAGCTAGGATGCTGGTAAACATTAAAATAACACATTATGTAATTAGGTGATTGAGTTGGACGAAACCTTGACGTATGAGGAAAGGCCTGTGAAGATTTTAGACACAAAGACACGTGAAACTCGGAGGAAGGCCATCAAAATGGTCAAAGTACTGTGGTCAAATCACTTGACTGAAAATGCCACATGGGAGACCGAGGATGACATGAGAAAACGTTATCCCGAGCTGTTTAGTCAAGGTATAAAAAATTTAGTTACGGGGACGTAACCTCTTAAAGGGGGGTAGAATGTAACACTTAGTAATTTGATGTTATAGATAGTAGATATTAGTTTATGTTTCGGGACGAAACATCTTTTAAGGAGGGTAGATTGTGACACTTCGAAAATTTTAAATAAAATAAAATGAATAATTTAATTAACATTTTTATAATTAAGTTGACCAGAGAGTAAATTTCGGCTTGGATAATAAAAGTGAGATTTTTATACGTGCGATAGTTATACACAAAATAAAGATTAGTAGCTACAAGTATATCTTATGCATTAAAAAGAAGGAAAAAAAAATATATATATACAAACACATATACGGAGGTAGTATATAATACGACACACACAATTTAAAGTCATAGTAGCAAGTATAAAGGGGAGTGGACTTTTCAAACTTAATTATACGTATAATACTAATAACATTAAAATACAAGTAATAATAACCTACTAGATAAGAATTAAACTATACGACTTGCGCTACACACTTGCGAATTGATAAGAACTGCGAACGATCTACGCATTCTTCGCACATCAAAGCTAATCGGGTAGCTAGAACCTTCGGCCACTCCTATAAATAACAGTCTTGCGATCAACCTGCATCAAACCCACGAGCGACGAACTGCGCCAAAGAGAGAAAACTTCGTGAGAATATGAGAGTAATACGACTCTCAGCTTGAGAGGTCAAGAAGGTGGGGTCGTTATTGAAGCAGAAAACCAAGAAGCGTCGGAGGAAGAGAAACTCGCCGGAGGAAGGGGAAGCTGCCAACATCTGCTCGATCGGCTGTCATAAGACGTCCTCCGCCGGCCTGCCGCCGTGAAACTCATCCGGCGTAGGTAAGTTACGACCTCTGCGTTCTCTTCGTTTTATGGTGTTTCCACGAACGGAAAGATTAAGGAAGACAAATTAAACGAATGTACTTGGTATATTACTACGTAACTTACTGTATATACAATGTGCTGAAATCATAAATATAATAATACGGAGTATTGAATAAGACCACTAATGTAATAGATTAGTAGGTTGTATATTGTATTATGGACTGTTCGGAAAAAAAATAAATTAATTAATGACAAGATGAACATAATAATAATGGAATGATTAGCGGTTATAAAATCAATGATTTAAATAGATTGAATAACTATTAGCGAATGGATGGACTGATTGGATTAAAATGAAAGTTTGACTGTTAAACCCGATTGATTAGTGAAGCACTTTAAAATGGACATCATGATTATAATAAAATTAATAAACCAACTAATATGGATGATCGTTAGACATGACAGTGAACTAAATTCAAAACTAACTAATGATAATATTGGATTAATCAATGTAAATGGATCGAAATTAAATAAGTTCATTAATGGACGGTACATGGTAAACTGGATTGCTAAGAATAAAAATAAGCTGATTGAAAACTGATTGATTTTAGCTATTAATTGTTAAAAGGAATAAACTGATTGATTATTATAACTGGACTGTTTAGATTAAAACGTAAGGTGTATTATTTTAATTAAACCAGATTGATTTAACGACATTTGAACATTAATAATAACAATAAAACACAATGGATGGATCGCTAGCTATATAAAACTAATGGAAAGATTGAATTGAATGATTATCATTGGACTGATTAGTTTAAAATAAAACTTTATTTGATTATTATTATTAATTAAACTTGACTAATTGATTATCGGCTTACATTAAAATATAAACAGATCAATTAATTGGAAAGTCAAACTAATTTACTGGTTCGTTTATATTCACTTATACAAACTATAATTCAGACTGTTATAATGCTACGTCATTAATGGCTTAATTAAAATAGACTATTCTAATGGCTTAATTAATAACTTTGGGGAAATTATGTGAGTAGTAATCCCTGAATTTTTGGAAAATAATAAAGATAAAATGAACCTTTCAATGTAAGGGCATCATGGGAGAAATCCGGGATGTCGGTGACCTCCACGACCTTGACTGTGGAGAGTGATTAGGACTGCTATTACTTGTTGGGATTTGGTGTCCACGACCTTGACTGTGGAGATTGGTTAAAGTGGTTGTTTTATTGTAATTAAAATTCGGGCAAAAGACCCTGTTATTCAGTAATAGCAGTAACTCAGTCACTTATATAGGGTAATCCCTTTTTGGTGGAGTAGGGGGACGTTGACGTCCGAACTACTTGGACTTCTTACTACTCGGAGGGCTTGGAATCCCTTTTAGAGGGTGTGCACACTTAAGGTAGAGGTTCAGTTTCCCCAGGTTAGAAGTGGTACCGGCAAAAGTCCCGGGGTGGCTGTACATAACAACGGACTACTGGGCTCAATAAAATGTTGAGCACCGCCCTTCAAATGTATTAGGAGTTTAATCCAATTATATTTTAAAACATTTCTAGAGTAACTATTGAAGAAAATATTTTTTTTATGAAAGTGAGGATCATCCATTTTTGAAAGAAGTATACCATGAAATTTATCTCTTAAACTACTTTTTCGTATATATGGTATACAAAATATTATTTTCACCAAACCTATTATTTTACGGGGTTGGGTGGGACTTACTTAGCTCTAAAGCTAATTTTTGTGTTATTTGTTTCTTTTATTTCCTTATGTTACAGATGATGTGGTTTATGAAGATTGATGCCTTGAGAGCGCTCCTAGAAGACTTTTAGAGTAGTCACATCTAGAATAAACATTGTTAGTTTTCATTATTTCAAATGTTAAATTGAATATTTGTTTAGATACATTTTTGGTGGATAGCCTTAGCATCCAGTCGGTTTAGGGCTGGGTGTGGCGGTAACACGCCCCTTTTCCTTGTTATTGTTTAATTCCGCTGCAAACAATTGAAAGTTTTGAATAATTAATAAAATTTATTATTTCTTTAAGTATTATTTTGGGAGGGAAATTTGGGGGTGTTACAAACCCACCCGAAGAACAACCCGAGCATCATCCCGATCAAGCCGACAATCAAGGACATGAAGATGTCCACAATGCACTTCCCGACCCTCCTCAAAACCCGCCACCCCAAGACTTTTTCCAACAACTCTTGGCGGGTCAACAATCCCTCCTTGCCGGCTTCCAAACCATGAGCCTCGATTACACAAAGATGGGTAGGCAATTTACCCAACTTCAAGAAGAGCTAGGCCAATACCGGGCGGAGCAACAAGCAAGGGACCGCCAATTTGATGCTTTCCGGACCGAGCAACAATCGGCATTCCAAAGGATGGAGGAGCAAAGGGCGGCCGATATGCAAAGGTATGAGGACGACTACCGGAGGATGTATGGGCCCACATACTCATACATGTCCCACATCGGCGGCTTTGCATCTATGTCCTCACCACCACCGGCACCCTCTTGGTATAACCCCTCCGATTGGGGTAATTTCGGCGGCTCCACTTCCGGCGGTGGTGGCTATGACGGCGGGGATACGACCATGGGCGAGGGAGGTGGCGATTATATGCAGGGAAGCGGCTTTGGAGGCGGATATTATGTCGGAGAAGGTGGGCACTAAGGATAGTGCCACGTTTCAAGTGTGGGGGAGGAAGCATCATCTCTTGGTATGTCACAATCCCTTTATCTTTTTTTTTTTTACCTTGTACTAAGCATTAGTTTCTACAAATAAATTGTTCAAATGTAAAAAAGAAAAAAAAAATGAAAAAAAAAAAAAAAAAAGAAATGAAATGCTAGTTAGGTTGAAAACCCAAAAAGGGCAATCTAAGCAACAAGGGCTTACAAAAAAAAATGATGAGTGAGTGGTAAGAAAGAAAAAGAAAAGAGATGCTAGGATGAAAACCTGAAAAGGCTCCTAGGCAAAATGAGAGATATGAGAGAAGCATTTGCGTTTTGCAGGGCACTATCTCTTGGGGAGGAAGAAGAAAGGAAGAAGAAGAAGTGAGGAGCATAGAAGACCATTAAACCCAAGGAAAAATTTGTTTTGTAACTTCATTTACAATACTTGGTGGTTTTAGTTCCTTATTTCTTCTTATCTATGAACTCATGGTCTGTTGATGGACATTATGTAAACATTTGGTTTTACTCGAGGACGAGTCAATAAACTAAGTGTGGGGGAGTTGACATTCGTGTAATTTCCATATTTAAATTTGTACTTTTAATTAGTTTCGAGTGATTGTTACTTTGGAAATTACACACTTTTGGTGTAAACAGTTTAGTTTGTAAAATATTTGTAATATGTTTAGATTAGGTTTATTCTGAGCTCAAACAGGTCCAAATACACTTTGGAGAACATCACCAGTGGAAGGAAGGTGCAAGAATGCAAGAAAAAGATTGAAGATCTCGTTTTTGGTCTGTACCCGATCGGGTATGACCTATACCCGGTCGGGTACCCTTCTGAAATTTCGAATCAAATCAAATCCGGGAACAAGGCATCATGCGGGAAGATTTTAAACACGTTCGGGTGTCCATACCCGATCGGGTGACCGACAGACCCGATCGGGTATAACATATTCCTATTACATATTAATATTTTGAGCAATACTTAAAGGATCAACTAGTTTTGTTTCATATATTAATTAATACTAGAATCGGTCGGTTAATACGCTTGTTATTAACTCGGCTCTTTCACGGTAGTAAACTTGGGTTGCTAATGCATGCGTCTCATGGTTAGTAAGCCAAGGGGAATTAATTATATTGATTAAACCGATAAACCGCTTGTGTTGAGGTTATCAATCTCAATCGTTTTCATCTTGATTTTATTGCTACTATCAAGTACATATACGGCGCGTGTTCTATATTGACTCGATAGTAAGTTTTATTAATGAACGCGTCTCGTTATTAATAACTACCCTCGATGAATTGGATATACTCCTCGATTGAGTATTCGAGAGGAAGATAGTTAAAGATATAACCGGGATCAACGAACATTTCATTAAGTGGATAAAAGCAAAGCCAAGTCTTCTTCTCATTAATTAAACCACATAACTCGTTCATCTTCGTGCTTAAATATAAATTAAGTTCATCAACCAATCATAAAACCCCCCTTTGTTACGTATCTTTAATTCTATAAAAAGAGAAGTGTTCCTTTCCCTGTGGATACGAACCTTACTACACTATACTACGTATCAGTGTCGTATTGTATTTATTTTGAGTGCACCTCACGACAAGTGCACGTCAGGAAAGCAATTCAAAATATCAAGGCAAGTCCCAAAATTAGAAGATCAACTATTCAAGGAAGGATGCTAAAACGGTCTGCCAAGACAGCCTATATAAACGAAGCAGCCAAAGGCAAATAGGCTGAGCTTGACCGAGAAAAATATCAAGAGAAACACTCAAGAGAAATACCAAGTTCAAGGCGCCAGAAACTGCCCACACGGAGTTCTAGATAGAGTTTTCTTTTCCCTTTCATATTGTACTTGGAATATTGAGGCTTAATTGGCTAGAGTAGCTGCCTCGGGTTAAGTGTGTGTGAGAGCTTTGTGATAAAGCTGAGAGGCTCTCTACCCGCAAGGTAGAGATGCATAACTCTTCCTAGAGAGGATAGAGTTGGGGAGGCTCAAGGGTAGATTAGGAGAATCACTCTTGTAACTCTTTCAAAGGCTTGTTTAGTGAAGTTGTTTAAAATTCCTCCGAGGGAGGTCGAGGTTTTTTAATCCCTTTGAGCCAAGGGATTTTTCCTCGTTAAATTCTTGTGCACTTTACTATTTCGCAATTCCCTTTATCCCACACTAGAACTCGGCGAAAAACTGCCACGGTTCCACACACACACAATTCACCCCCCTCTTGTGTTGCTAACCGTTTTCATCAATTGGTATCAGAGCCGGTCTTCACCACATAAAGGCTAATACCTTGGGAAGAGATCCGGCAAAATGAATACGGTTGACCGATTGGAAGAAGGATACTCGACTCAACGACCACCATTGTTCAATGGCAAATACTATCAATTTTGGAAGAGTCGGATGGAAAACTTTATCAAGGCCGATAACTACCAGGTTTGGAATGTAATTGAAAGTGGTGATAATGCCATCACAAAGAGAAACGCCGAAGGTAATGTTGTTCCTAAACCTAAAGTTGAATATACTTCTGAAGATTATGAGAAACTCGAGCATAATGCCCAAGCCCTTAAATATCTAATTTGCGGTCTTGGTCCTGCCGAACACAATCGGGTTCTAGGATGCAAGACTGCAAAACAAATGTGGGATTTGCTCGAGGTCACTCATGAGGGAACCTCACGTGTAAAAAAATCTAAGATTGACATATTCATGCGTAATTACGAATTATTCGTAATGAAGCCAAAAGAGTCAATTAAGGATATGATTACACGCTTTACTAACATTATCAATGAGCTTTCATGTAACACCCCCGCCCCGTAGGACCCGAGGTAGTTACTTAAGACCTCTAGTACTGTCCCCACAAACCACCACTAGCCTTTTCCGCGCACTTTGTCCTCACTCGTGCGTGCCCTGAGAAACTTCCCAGGGGGTCACCCATCCTGGGACTACTCCCGTGCAAGCACGCTTAACTTTGGAGTTCTTGGCTAATGAGCTCCCTTAAAAGGAGATGCACCTTGTTGGTATGAGTAGTACTATTAATCCATTTATATTAAATCTCAAGTGTTACAATCACCCCCACTTAGGATCGCAACGTCCTCGTTGCGCCCTTGAACCAATCTCAAATCTCAATCAAATCCCAGAATACTCCCCCGCTAAGTGGCCGCCCGATATCCAACGGGTCAGCACACTGTCGCAGGGTTGCTCTGATACCACCTGTAACACCCCGGCCCCACCGGACCCGAGGTAGTTACTCTGGACCAATAGTACTGTCCCCACAAACCACCACAAGCCTTTACCGCGCACTTTGTCCTCACTCATGCGCGCCCTGAGAAACTTCCCAGGGGGTCACCCATCCCAAGACTACTCCCGTGCAAGCACGCTTAACTTTGAAGTTCTTGGGTGATGAGCTCCCTTAAAAGGAGATGCACCTCTGTTTGTATGAGTAGTACTATTAATCCATTTATATTAAATCTCAAGTGTTACATTTCAGCCCTTGGAAGAGAAATTACAGTGGAAGATCAAGTGAGAAAGATTTTGAGAAGCCAGCCCCAAGTGTGGAAGCCTAAGACCACGGCTATTGAAGAAGCAAAAGATCTATCCACCATGACGCTTGAAGACTTGACTGGATCACTCTTGACATATGAACTGGGTCTTCAAGAAGAACAAGATGTCGAGAATGCTAGACGAGAAAGAGGAATAGCTCTAAAGGCTCAAGAAGAAGAAGAAGAATCCGAAAGTGAATCGGATGATGAGATGAGCATGTTTGCAAAACAATTTAGGAGGATGTACCGAAAATTCAAGAACAACCGTACCAAACAAGGTAAAAGGAATACTCAATCCTTTAATAACCAAGGTTGTTTTGTTTGTGGTTCCTTTGAGCACAGGGCTAAAGACTGTTCACAAAAGAAAAATGATCGGAACTGCGACAAGAACAAGTCCAGTTCCAACCGGAGGTTCAGCGAAGACAAAGGGTTCAAGAGAGATCTCAAAAAGGCCATGATGGCAGCATGGGGAGACTCTTCTGATGATGAAGAAGAGGAAAATGATAAGAACACCAACCATGCGGGTCTATGTCTTATGGCTCATTCTGATGAGGAATCCGACCAAGAGAGCTTTGAGGTAAACTTTGAAAATTTTCTATCTAAGTTTGACTCTCTATCCAAAACCAAAGCTCGGAAAATTTTCAAAAGATTGACTATTGAGCTTAATCAAAACCTTTCTGAAAATGATCATCTTAAATCACAAATCACTGAGCTTGAGTCTAAACTCGAGGAAGCCACGAAAGCCAAGATAAGGCTTGAAACAAAAGTGGGAGAGTTAATAGATGAAAGGCTTAAGTATAGTGAAGTGGTTTTAGAACAAGATCAAATCATTTGCTCTCTTAAGCTCGATAGTATGAACAAACAAGTTAATCATGATGAAAAACTCCTTTCAAAAATTCCGAGCGTTGGTACTTTAATTGATCATCTTCATCGTCTTGTTGCCGAGTGCACTGATTTTAAAAATAGACCGGAATATCAATCCTATAGTGCAACGAACAAAACCAGGTCTAGACATCATTCTGGAACTGGTCCTTCTCAGCACAATAAGAATGTAAACGAGACTGCAGGTCTCGGATATATTCCAAGGGATATTCGATCTAATCAAAAATCAAATTTTCAGAACCAACCCTTTAAGGGCAATAGAACCCGAGGACAACCCAGTTCTAGACCATATCAACAGCCACCTAGAACTGGACCAAACTGGTTCGATAGACTGGTTCAGAGGCACAAAAACGGTTATGGACAAACGCCTAACCGAACTTTTCATAAAAGAACAAGAGGCTTTTATGGTAAATGGAAACCTAAATACGTTGATACTTATGACAACCGAGTTTGCATGCATTGTGGCAAAATCGGACATCTACGGTATCAATGTCACTCTCGGCAAAAGACTTTAGAAAGATGCTATGATCATGTTAGATATTCCTCAAACAAATACAAAATGGAACCCAAGCAAGTCTGGGTTCCACGCGCTAACCCTTAATCCTGGAACAGCGCCGAGTGAGGGGGAACAATCACTGGTTCCTTGACAGTGGTTGTTCTAAGCACATGACGGGAGACAAATCTTTATTCCTCTCACTACGGCCATTTAGCGGTGGAAAGGTGACGTTTGGAGACAACGGCAAAGGAGAGATTCTAGCCGTGGGCAAAGTTGGAAAGTCACCTAACCATGCAATTGATAACGTATTTTTAGTCAAGGGTTTAAAATTTAATTTGCGTAGTATTTCACAATTTTGTGACCGAGATAACAGTGTTGTTTTTAATCATAATGTGTGTCGCATTATTAACAACGAATCTCAGCAAGTTATACTCGAAGGCAAGAGACTAGTAAATACCTATAAAGTTGATCTTGATTTATTGCCAAATATAAGTATAACTTGCCTAAGCGTTATTGATGATGATCCCCTACTATGGCATAAGAGACTTGGACACGCTAGTTTTTCTTTAATAAATAAACTTAAAACTAATGATTTGGTAGTTGGGCTACCAAATGTAAAATACTCACTTGATCACATTTGCTCCGCTTGTGCCACCGGAAAACAATCACGATCATCTTTTAAAACAAAAAATTTTGTGAGCACAAGCAAGCCCATAGAACTAATTCACATGGATTTGTGTGGTCCAATGTCAGTCCGAAGCAGGGGAAATAAAGA